CGGTGCGCCATGGTGGAGCTTGACACCACCCAGCATGAGGCTCTAGGATCAGTGAAGGTGGCAGATGACAGGATCTCCAGTGGTGACCTCACATGGGGCACAGATATTCTCAACCACACCTTTGCCAATGGCATTCATGGTTTTGAAATGGTCTGCTTTTTCATTTTATTAAAAAAAGGCAAAGTATTAAAAACTTGCCCAGAGTCACATAGCTAGTAAGAGCCAAAGCTAGGACTTCAACTTGGTTTGTCAGACACGTAACCACTCTACAGTATCACCTCAGTAAAGGTCAAAAGATTTTTTTATTCTTTTCCATCTATTTTAATGGAAAACCTTCAGAAATGGAGCATATATTTCCATAGATCCAAAAACAGAGAACACTAAACATTGTTGACACCCTCTTGCTCCTACTCTCTGGGCATGGAATAAAAACAGTGGTTTCCTTCCAGCCACAGCTGTCGTGGTGTAATCCCAACTGGACTCACATGGCTTTAAAAATGACCTCCTCTGTCCCATAGACTTTGACAATGGATGAAGACAAGGAGACAGAGGAACCTCAGTGTGCACTGCTTTCTTTACATGGACTTGGCACCCGCCCCTCCGATATTCACAAATGCACACACCTGAGCTTACATATTTATACAGCTGGTTTCCACCCAATACACCCCATAGTGCAGCCAACTTCTGTCCCTGAGTTTCACTTGCACAAGCACCTTGTTGCATGAGCACATCTTTCCAAGAGTGGTGTGTGTCCTGAGTTTCCTTACTTGTTGCCTGGTCAGTTCCTCCTTGATGAAAACTCTACTGCCAGTGGTTTCTTTTTAGTCACGTGTGCAAACTGTGTGGAGTTTCTGTGATTCAAATTTTGTGGGAATCCAAATGTTTACTTCCTATTATATCCTATGGAAGGTAGTTGTTATTTTTCTTTTTCTTTTTCTCTTTTTCTTTTCATTATCCTCTTATTTTGAGTCTGTCTTCAGTACATATCTATTTATCTTCAGATGGTAAAATATGCTTCTTGCTAAAATATTATTTGATTTTGAGCTTATAAATATAATTTATGCTGGGTGTGGTGGCTCGCACCTGTAATCCTAGCACTCTGGGAGGCCGAGCCGGGCGGATTGCTTGAGGTCAGGAGTTTGAAACCAGCCTGAGCAAGAGCGAGACCCCGTCTCTACTATAAATAGAAAGAAATTAATTGGCCAACTAATATATACAGAAAAAATTAGTCGGGCATGGTGGTGCATGCCTATAGTCCCAGCTACTCGGGAGGCTGAGGCAGCAGGATTGCTTGAGCCCGGGAGTTTGAGGTTGCTGTGAGCTAGGCTGACACCATGGCACTCACTCTAGCCTGGGCAACAGAGTGATACTCCATCTCAAAAAACAAAACAAAACAAAAAATATATATAATTTATGATCAATTTTAACATGTATCATACATGCCTTGAAAAAAGCATTTAGCCACTCCTTGATTCAGAATTATTATTATGAATATGCAATATTTGTTTCTTGTATAAAATACAGTTCCAGGTCTAGAATTGGGGATTGTTTTTTATTGTTATGACTTTGGACTAAACTTGTCACTGTCTCCAGTCATGTCTCCAGCTATTCTGAGCCATTCTGTTTCTCTTCCTGTCTTGAATACTGCTTCGCATCAGAAGAGCAGGAGAAACCAGACTCACATACTTGTTGAAAAGCTTGGTCAAGAAGAGTCAATAAGTCTGAGAGAGGAGCTAAGGAATTGACTTCAGGGCTTTATTTAGGGCAGGGTGTCTTATGTGAGGCTCCTTAAAACTCACTTCTGTGTCAGGCTGCATTTTGAAAAGTTGAAGGTGTAAGGCAGATAAGTGGGATATCATGCTCTTTACTCTGGGAACTCCACACCATCCCAAGGGACAAAGATGACCTTTTGTTTATTGACAAGAGACCAGGACTCCTAAGAGCCACCATCTACTTGAGGCCTTTTCTTGAAAAGACCCTCACATTTCTAGTTATGGTGGTGGTATCTTGGCCAAGCAAAAAAATAAGTGAAAAAAAAGACAGAAATACAATATACAGCCATTACAACTTTACTCTCCGAACCAGATTTTAGTCAGCAGGGTGGTAAGTGACTCATCTGTGAAGCCCAGATACATTCGGACCTACTAACATGGCGTTTCAATTCATTTGGGTGATGTTGGGCCCAGGAGATATGGCTCCACGTTCATTTCTGTCTCAGTCACTTCTCATGTCTTGACTTTCTTTCACTGGTCCTGTCTGCAAATGCTGTGCATTCAAACTAGAGGTGGGGATTCCATTTAGGGTTCTCTCCCAAACACTGGGGCTCTCATTCTAAAATACCATGACTAGAGTTGAATAATCCTCACAGTAGCGATTAATGGCCCAAATTCCTCCAAATTACATTCACTAATGGGTAAACCCTTCTGATTGAGAGGCCTTCCAGTTAATTAATTATAGGACCCAACTAAAATCATTTTTGGCAGATGTTGTCCAAAATGTAATTGGTTTATGTCCAATTATCTCATAAAACAGGTAAATTTATTTAGAAATTAAAATAAAGACATCTTTCAATTAATGCATCCTGGCAGTATCAAACTGCCTTGATCAAAACTGTTATCTATGGGAACATTATCCAGGTTTTATACGGTCATTGAAGGGAGCTAGTAATAACTGCTCTGATGGTTTACAGGCCCAAAGCTGCTTCTCATGCTCAATAGTGTAAAATTTGCAAGGCTTAATTAATCATTTTTTCAAGTACCAGAAAAGTCCCAGAACTATTTCCCAAGAACAATTCTAGCTTTCTGCATCTTGTCTCTAAGTAGTGGCCAAATAGCTATCAATCCAAGTAGACAGTATATTTTGCCTACTCACATTTCATAAAATAGTATAAAATTGTCATCTGTTTACTTTTTATTTCCAAAAGACATAGTTTCATCCTCAGTTGACACACTGTCACCCTTAAATATGTGTGTCCAAAAATATAACCAAACCGCCAAATGACCAATTCTTATCAAAATCTCACATCAAGAAAAGTGATGTCAATGGACAGTTGTTTAAAATATTAATATAAGATATATGTCATATGTATATGTATATAAAAATATATGATCCAATGCCACATAAAGACTATTCCTTGGTCAAACATGACATCGAAAGGCACAGAACTGAACCAAGTAATCTTTGCCTCTGCAGAATTTCCTTCCCCGAGCTATACCGTAGGAGCCAAGCACCCGGCTTTGATCAAGAGACACTAGGAGGAAAGCCTTGGGATGCTACATGCCACATTTACTGTAGGGATATTGCTTGAAGACACTGCCTTCTTGGTCACTCAGTGCATCTTTTATGACCTTCTTGTGAAATCCATGCTAACGTAATCTACCGCTGCCCAGAGAGACGTAAACCTTGTTAAAATCACGGGTGTCAGTTACTCTGGGCTGTGATAATGGGTAAGTTCCTCCCGTCCAGATATCAATATGATGGTGCCCCGAGGAGCTCCTTAACTCAGGACTTTATGGATCTATTAAAAAGAGCAGTGGGAACTGTATACTGTATACTTTATGCTGTACACTAAACTTGAACCGCACTTAGTTATGATGACTTGTAATTCCGGACCACAGAGTTGTGGTGTCAGTTACCAGACCCGAATAAAAGGCTGGTTGGGACTCTATTTCCTTCATCCTCTTGCCCTGTCTCCCTCCTGCTGACAGGTGTCTTCCTTCTGCACCACTCTTGCCCCACCAGGTCTGGGCTGGAATTTTCTTTCTTGTCTTAGGGCACTTTCCATGAGATTCTGTTTGCCCTTGCTCCGGTTTACTTCACACACAGCCTTTAGCAGGGACACCCTCTGCAAGTGTCCCCGCTAAGCTCATTTATGAGCCCAAACTGCCCTTTTTCTCCCTCCGTGTTCCCCAGTTCATACCCCCATCAAGGCTTGTTCTGTTCGCCCAACACTCCAGTAATGGGAGGGGTTCATTCTGCTTCTTTTGCTCTGAAAAGTAATTTTCTTCTGAATCACACACTAGGCAGAAATTTGGGGCACTAACATAGTCCCTGGCTAACTCTCTAATAAACAGCCTTCCCGAAGGCGCCTGCTAAACAATTTTACTCTTAGTGCGGTGGGAGGAGCAAGGGCTTTGGTGCCTGCAGAGTTGGCTCAGAATCCTGGCCTTGCCACATACTGCTGTGTGATCTCAGGAAAGCTAGGTAACCTCTCTGATCCCTAGTCTCTTCATCTATAAATAATACCTTGGCAAGCTTGTAGTGAGGACTACAAATTACTGCTTCACTTGAAGAAAAGAAACGGAGAGAGGGAAGGGAGGAGAGGGCAAGATAGGTATGTGTGCATTTTTTTTTTCAGTAAAAATGAAAAACCACATTTCCCTTTTATTCCTTTAGCTCCCAGGAAACTTAGAGATAAATTTGGTATTCAATTTGAACAGTAAAGCAGACAAAATCTTCTGATCTATAATTTTGAATGTTTATCTCTCCTGGATCTTTTGTTCCTACTTTCACCTATTCCTGCATCCTCATTTTTAAATCATATTTGTGGTTCATTATTTCATGTGGATTTTTTTTTTTATGTGGTTTTGAGCTTTGCCTGAGGTTTGAAGAATGTCTCAAATCTTTCGCGGAATGAGATGTGGTATTGTATAAATATGTACATTTAGAGAAGTTGCTGTGAACATTTTTGTTGCGCTATATAATAACATAATCTATAAAGCAATCTTGCACCCCGTCTTCCTTCCTCCTCTCAGTGACCCTGCGAGATAGATGTGATGAACTCCATTGCCGAGATGAGGCAAGTCAGGCACTGTGAGTAGCTTTTCTCAGATCACTTAACCTCTCTCGAGGGTCAGAAATTGACGTGCAACCCAGGTCTTTTGAATCCCAACCCGAAGCTTTTTCTTCTGCCACTGAAGTGCTTCTCCACAGAGTCACAAGCCATTCAGGGTTGCTACCGGGCTTCATAAATAACACTGATAACAATAGCGCGCATTTACCGGGCACCTGCTGCGTGGCAGGCATTTTACATGCACTCGCTCATTTAGTGCTCCCCACAAGCTGCTGGCACCCGTTCCTGTACCGTCCTCCTTCATAAACCACCAGCCACACAAAGGCAGGGTCCCCGAGGTCACAGGCCGGGAAGGGGAGCACTGGGGATTTGAACCCAGGTTAGTGTGACTCCAGAGCTCTTGCTCTGAACTGTTACCCTCCAAGGGCATCAGTTCTGTCACTGAGCGACACTTCCTGGGGAAAGTGTTCAAAGAACTCTGGGCTTGTGTGATGTCACCGTGTGGCTGTGACAGAAGCAGACGGCAGCAGCAGGCTGTCCCCGCTTCCCTGACCTCTCGCTGGTGGGCAGCGAGGTTAGCTTTGCCACTCACCGGCCGCGGCTCATTAAAGCCGTAGGCCTCTGTGATCTCCTTGCAATCCGTGCAAAGGGGTCACAGTCTCAGGCTTGTGACCCAATTCAGGCTTTCCTGTGCAGCCTGTTTTAAGACCTTGACACATACGGCAATAACAAAACATACATACTAGGTACTGGCCCTTAGAAGCGTCCTGGGACTGTTTTTGGAAGTATAATTATTGTCTTGAAGTCTATTCTTTTTATCTTTTGGATTTATTCAGCTTTTGGAGCCTTTTGCCTTAAGATATGCTTTTAGGTTACAATAAACAAGGCTAAATATTTCTGGAAATATTCAAAGGAGGACGTGTTCCTTTTTCATCTTGATATGTGTACCAATTCTTTTGAACGTTAATAGAATTATTTTATTTTCTTGGTTGGTGTCTCCCCTCTTGACCAAATGGCCAGGTCTGTCTTCACTGTTGCTCTAACCAGTTTCTAGCAACACCTGGGGTCCACTCTCCATCCATGCCTGGATGCCTAAGCCCTTTTCAATCATAGCATGAGGATAATAATTACTTTTTCTACCTCTCGGATTTTTATGAGGATTAGATGAGATACTGCATGTTAAAGTGCTCTGAACCCCTATGTTCCCATAAAAAGGTAAGATCAGCACGTGGTCCCTGGTGAAGAATTCTGATAAAGGTACGTGCTTAAGTGATATGCCTGCCAGCATTCATTACAAAGGCAATGGGGCCTGCAGCCCGGAAAAAAGGCACAAAATTCCATCACTCTGTCATGTTGTCTACCCGTCATGAATCACAGGCACTGATTTGGGAACTGAGGTTTGGATGACCGGCATTTTTATCCAGGTCATCAGGATCAAAGTCCAGAGAGACTATGGGAAGACCACAGTGTCCTGGGTGCAGCTCCCCACGTGGTGGCAGTTTTCAGTCTTCTTGGAGCAGCGGTCGGCAAAGCCATGGGCCCAATCCAGCCCGACATCTGCTTTTACATGTCCTGCAAGCCAAGAATAGTTTTTACATTTTTAAATAGCTGGAAAAAAATCAAAAGAATAATAATATCTTATGGTTGTGAAAATTATGTGGGATTCAAATGCCAGTGTCTATAAAGTTTTGAATTTTACCAATTAAAAAATGTGTGAAAATCTGTCTTACTATTATAGAAGTACCTACATAATATTCTCAATTTTGCCTGTTGGCCCACAAAGGCTAAAATACATACTATCTGGCTCTTTTCACAAACAGTTTGCTGACCCCTGTCTTACAGCATTCATTCTGCTCTTGAATTCAGGCATTCAAAGGCCTCATCTATTTGCCACCCGAGGGACTCAATCTGTGCTGAGTCTCTAGCAGAGAGGAGATCTGTACAGAGAAGACTGAGGCCTGGGCACTGAAAGAGCAGAGGGGTCCATTTGGTACTCAGTCGGGATGGGGATGACCAAAAGGGAAAGTGTGACAGAGAGGAGAAGAGAGCTGGGAACAGCCCGCTCGGCAATGTGGTCTAGAAACAGCCATCCCGCATGTGGTCTCGGTTCTCTTGGTCAGTCTGGACCTTGGACTCAACACTCTAATTTGGTCTATTGCTCACCTCTATGATTGAGCAACAGGTGTTTTCCTGATGCTCTCTTGGAGGAGACAGAGGGCGTCTGCAGTGCTGAACACGTAGCATTTGTGCCTCTGACCCTGTTAGATTTTTGTCTGCACCCACCTGCCATGTCCCTCCTCTGCCCGGCTCCCTCTCTTCCCGCCCCTGTTCTCCTGGCCTCTAGGAACCAGAGGCCCCATTCCCAGCCTCTAGTTCTCACACCTTCCCTCCAGGCTTTGGTGTCTCTCTTCCATCCATAGCATTTCACTTTGTCCCCCAAAAGGCAATCCTCCACCCCACGCTTTCTTACATATGGGAAGACAGAGAACAGGGCCGAGAAAAATGGAGATAGGCCCATGTTAGAGGAGATGAGATATCAAAGCAAGAAGAATAATTTTCCTGGCACCTGCCAAGACACAGGGCAATGTAGTTGGGTTCTGGAGAAACTGGGAAAATGACCCTGAAAGTAACCGCGATTGTGCCAGGCCAGGACAAAAACAAACGGGCTGTGGTTCCAGGGGGTGTTCGCACTCCAACGCTGTCCAGTTGGCTTTATCTAGTCTGTGGTTTACATTTGCAATGCGTGCTGTGCAATGGTGCAGCATCAATTAAGCTTCCTAATGTATCTTTGCTAAGAGCAACGGACCCAGGAGAGCTGAAAAGACCAGGGAGGGTGTACAGATCGTCCGTGCTCTGTGCAGAGAAGGAGCTGGGTAAATTCATCAGACAGTCTTTTGATTAAGGAGGTGCATGCCCAAGGGAGCCGGGGGAGACAACTGAGCAGAATGAAATTGGCCGAGCGACGGCCACCTGTGGAACCAAGGACAGAATGTCACTGATGACTTCCCGACACGTGCCCTTTCCTGGGAATATCCCACTGCAAGAGAATGAAAGCTTATTTTGCCACCAACTCCTTTCAGCAGAAATGAAGTCTCAGTGAGTAAAATAACACTGATTAGCACAGCACTACAGAGAAGCCTCAAGGGTCGGATTTCATGTCCCCTTTGGACTTTCTCTTCAGGCAGTTAGGCGTTCACAAGAAAATCCCTTCTCTTTATGTGGCTTCTTCAGCCGCATCATTTGTGAAACAATTTTTAAGAGATGAAACACAATAAACCCTCGCACTTGTATTTCTCTTATCTTAGATGCCTCTTGAAATTTCCAACTAATCTTTAACATGGTTAATTTCTCCCCACTCCCAAGCCTCAACCACTAAATTGAAAAAAAAAAAAAAAGAGAGAGAAAGTGAAAAAAACAGAAGTCCCTTGTGTTACTCAGCAAGAGTATGTGATTTGTAAGTTTCTAAAAAAAAAAATCCTTCCAGCCCTGCTTATTTTGACAAAACTACTTAACACTTCAAGCAATGAACTACAGGGCATAAAAGTATAATCTGCAGAGAAAACCTTAATCCTCTATAGTAACCTATTTGAATCTCCTCAAACACATTTTGGTGTGTAGGCCTAGAGAATTAAGTCAATTGTTTGATCTGAGAAGAAAGGCAATTAGGGCTCTCTCTTGATCTTTCTGGATGAATTCTAGTCAGGGGCAGCCACTGTTCTCCACGGCTCCATCTGAGACCCCTATTATTATAATAATAGAGGTGAGCGAGCATTAGAATCGCTGCAGTTACGAGTCTCCCTGCATTTTCATTATGAGTTGTTTTATCCAGGAGTTTCAAATCGTGATGGGCTAATATTCAGCATACAAATGATTAGCTAGCTGCAGGTTTGGTGTGTTTTTTTTTTTAACCTCATTTAAAACTTCTTCCTTAACCTGACAAATAATTTTCAGCAGAAATGAAAGAAAACTTCCAGAAGTGGCTACTTGGGTGATGGGGCAGCTGTGTTCGTTCACTGCCGAGTTATGGCAGAGATGGGAGGTGGGTCCCCTCAAAGGCATGTCTCGGCGGCCATTGCCAGTGCTGGCCAGGGATGGAGAATCTGGTTGGGGTGGTCTGGAGGGAGGGATGGCCGGGAGTTATGCCCTTATTTGCTTACTCAGAGCAGCTCCCAAATTTCTAAATAGGAACAGCACAGCGACAACAATCTGGTTGGAAAGGAATATGGGAGATGTGTTTATATAGTACGATTATATAAGATTGAATAAAGATCATCTGTCCATGACAAGGAACATTGGAGAGGGACTTGCTTGTGGAGATTATGGGAGTTAGTGACTAAAGCCTGTCCCAAGCGACCCGGTGGTGCTGTCGCTGCTGACTAGGCCTTTCCCTGGGTTTCTGTGGCTGTATCTTACCATCCAAAATAATGCTGTTGGAGCTGTTTTTCATCTGCTTTGTCCATTTTATGTGAGCTCTCTGCCTTGGAGAGGCGGGAAAGCCACAGAAGAGCAGATAAGCTCCTCTGCTTCCTGCCCGATTCCACTGGGCTCAGGGCTTACTTTTTGAGCATTTAGACCCAACCGAATCCAAGTGCAGGAAATCCAGAAAATGTGAACATGCTCCTGTCTTCAGTGGACCATTCTCTTCGCCTTGGCTTCAGAGTGCCTGCAGGAGGGTTGCTTCGAGGAAGCTGGAGTTCTGCTTTAGGGCAGTTGAAGCTTGTGGAACAGCAGCAAGGAGCAGTCTGGTTATTTTTACTCATGAACAGTAATGGAGAGCCCGCGAAGAGCCGGGCGGGGTGCTAGGAGCCAACAGTTGCAAGGAGGGTGAGTGATCATCCTGCCCACCAGGAGCTCGTGGCCTAGTGGGGGAAGACGGGTGCGCCAAGAGAGAATGATAATACGGTGTGAAAAACGTGATTCAGACAAGAGCCCAAGAGTGTACACTGAACCTAAATTTAAAGTCCAGGGAAAGGTTTGCAAGGAGATGGTGCCTGAGCTAAGGTTAAAAACATGAGTAAGAAATAATTAGCAAGGAGGTGCCCTATTATTCTAGGCAGTGCAGAGTCCTAGAGAGGAGAGAAAGCAGAATGTGTTTAAACATCTGCAGCTAGTTCTGTAAGGCTGGGCCAAATGTCTGCTCATGAGGGAATTTAATGCCATCATAAGGAACCTGGGCTTTATTCTACAGGCTATGGAGAACCCATGAAATATTTTAAACACAATGGTAACATTATGAAGAGATTAGCTGTTTGGAAAGAGAACGGGAGTGTATTCGTTTTCTATTGCTTTGCAACAAATCACCACAAATTTAGCTGCTTAAAACAACATCCCTCCCCTAGATAGGCTGACACATAAAATAACCATAATAACTCTCTATTACTCTAAATAATTTGAGAACTGGCCTCTTA